ACTCTTAACTAAGCTCCAGGGAAGAGAACAATATGCAAATTGTCATAAAGTTTGTAACCTTAAAGAAAAATCATTAGAAACTATCTTCATCACAGATGGTGACTGATAAGTCACTCGGATTCTTTTCTTATTAATTTTTAATGGTGAGAAAAAGCATTTAACAAATCAGATTCTAAACTTATACTTACAACATTCCTAAACAAAGCAATTATTCTTAGTGTCGAAACTGGTGACTGAGCTAATTTATTTTTTGACAGGTGCGAGTAAAAATTAATAAAATCTATAACTTCACATCTTTGAATAAGATTTACACCAACACCGTATTTGCAGTAGCTGTCTCAAAAAGTTTTCATCTCTGAGCCACTAGTTTCAAATCACTGGGCATAAGCATGCTGATGGCAAAAGGCATTGTTCCAAATCTGAAGATTGACTCTTCCATTTTCTGTACCCATTGCAGCTATTTTGCATCTCCCTTAAGACAGGTTACTTGTCGAAGAAACCATATGTGTAATATGCTGGTGCATTTAAAATGAATTACATTTTGAAATATAGTTCTCATTTTATCTGAATGCGTATGCATTATCGGAGCCAGGGCAGGTGTGGCTGTGCCATGTGCCAGGACTTAGGGGTGGTAAAAAGTTTTTTAATTTAAGATGAGATACCAACTCAGCAGTAATTCAATCCCCCATCCCTTCTCAAGATTGGTGTTATAGGCATAATTTTGAATTGATTTATACTAATGCCCTAGGAAATATTTCAAAGTAATCAGGCACCTTGTGTGATTAGTGGCCTGAAGTGCCACCATGTTCTGAGTTCTTGAGAGAAGTGGGGTGGCAGGTATTTTGCAGGAATATTTGCATATGAGGAATTTTAAGCTTTCAAAATCAAAGCATTAATCTTTAGATTTTTTTTTTTTTTTTTTAAATTTAAATGGGACTTTACCAGAGAAATTTAAGGATTGCTGATTTATGGTTTAAATAGTCATTTAAGTTAGATATATTCATTTGATTTCAAAAGATACAGGAAATTAAATGAATGCTGAAGATACTGGATATATATCTCTACAACTTAAAGTATATTGCATTTTGCAGGACTTCAGTCAGATATTTTGTTAAAAAATTGGATAATAAATTAATTATATGGCTGTTCTAAGTGGAATCTAACTTCCTATTCTAATTTTTATTATCTGTGTGACATTTTTAGTGCTATTCTCCATAACATAGTTTTTTTAATGGCATCGCATTTATTATATGAAACGTATAGCATTGTTAACGGTTTTAACTCAAAATTGTATCATCCTGGATAGTATTCAGAAGATGGCTTCAATTTTGTAAGTTGATAAATTCTGAAGACCTTTTAAAAAAGAAGATGTGGAACAGGGTTACTGAAACAAGACATATAATAAAATGATTAAAAGAACTTGGTGACAAATAAGAGAATCATCCCTAAACAGAGACAGTGTAGTGGCATGTTATCATCCATTGAACCAAACTAAATTCTGAATAGTCGTTAATATGTAAACACTAATAAATTATCTTTCTTCTCCCTTTTTATTATTATTATTTGTGTAATTTGGCTTCCCTTAGTCTTTATATATATATTTTTTTAACTATTAAGATTTTCATCCCTGAAAATTTGAGAATCTTCATTCAAATATATAATTTTTAATGCTTAAATTTATTAAGGTTACTGAAAATAAATATTGTACATAGAATATAATTTCAGGTTTAAAAATTGAAAGATAAATATTTCTACAATTTGAATTTTTTTTTTTTTTTTTTTTTTTTTTTTTTTTTTTTTTTTTTTTTTTTGTTTTTTTTTTTTTTTTGTTTTAATTTACAAACAACTCATAGGGTGACTTAGGGAAATAGAAGCAGTAATGATTAGATAAATCATTTGACATTTATTGAAGGTTGCATTGTTCATATATATTTTATGAAAAAATTTAGATATTCATTTGGATGATATTAATCCAGTGTCTGAAATTAAATTAACTGATATGTAAGATTGTGAAGGCATATATTTGGTGTATGCAAAAGTTCTACTTTTGCAGATGCAGATTAAAAAAAAATTGTCACCGATGATATTGAATGACTGTAATCTTTTAGCAGCAAAGAGTAGGAAACCTGAGAATATAAAGGCACTGAGATCATCAAAGTAATTCAAGTGCATTTAGTGATTTTAAAATGGAAAGCCATAAACCGTATACCCAATATTATTTACTGTGCAACTTTCATAAAAGTAATACTGCAGTCATAGCATTTCTCAGGCATGTTATGATAGCTTATGTTTGCTGTTGGACTCGGGAATTTAGAAATGAAGACAGATGACATTCAAATCATTCACATTCTGGATGCTCATGAATGTTTTTTGCTGAAGGTATAGGATCCTATTTAGTTTTACTAACAATTATTTTAATTTGTAAGACATTCCTGAATTCTCTTATTCCCCTCCCATTTTCTCGCCAGGATGTAAATGAAGTGGTTGAATGAGCATATTTAAACTGTTCAAATGAAAATGTTAGACAGAGCGTGATTTCACTATTGAAGCGGATGTTTGCAATTTTGTTCTCCAGCTGTCAATCTTAGTAGCAGCTACACATTCTGGCTGTCTAGTTAGTATATCGCTGGTGTAGGTTTTGGAGTCAGCCAATTATATTAAATTTTATTAGGTAGTCTAGTACTATATCTTTTTAATTTATTGTTAAATTAACTTTTAAGTTCTCACCGCAGTGGTCAGTGTTTTGTGTAAACACGTAAGTCCGTGCCTTCTGTTATACAATAGTTAAATTGTAAGGATTATGTTCATTTTATTAATAGTTTAATTTTAGTTAAAGTTCCTTTCCTGTCAAATTCTCAACTTCAACTTACTACTTTCGGCCAGAACGTAGTTTTAGAATCACTCTGAATACTTAATGAGGAGGAGCGGTATTTAAACCGTGAAGTTCTACTTGTTGAGTTAGAGAGAATCAGAGTTTCTGATTTGCACACGTCTGCCTTTTGGACTACACTCTCTGAAAGCTGTTATTACACTCGGCCATACTCAGGCCCTTGATAAGCTTCAGAGTTAAGGGGCCAACTCGATTAGAATCTTGATAGCTTCGGCTATATCTCTTAATCTTAGTTTCAGTTTATTTTTTAGTCTCTTAAGTTCAAGCCCAAGTGTCGGCTTTCGTTGTACACTCCAAGACAGAGTTTTGTTAAATCTTATTGGAATAATAAAGCGTTAGTTACCCTTCCATCTTGTTGTTTCTTGTCACGGAACTTAAGCGATTATTCGCTAATTAGTTCTTAAGGTTACTTACTTTCTACAGTAACTGAGAAATACACTAGTGAGAATCTTCCAAAATAAAAGGGTCTTTTATACCCTTTCCCTGTTGTGTTCATCTTCAGACCTGTGCAAGAATTCACAAGATATGAACATTAAGTAGATCTAGTTACCATTCTCATGATTGCAGCACACACTAGATCTGACAAAGGTCATTGCTTATGAGGCCCATAAATGCTGTCCTGAAGAAAAGGGATCTGTGCTCGATTGCCCTTGAAATCATTAAAGTTTTATTCAAAACCTATGCCAAAATAAGGTTGCTATTTTGCCTAATTTTAAATCACACCTACATAATGTATTATTTATGTTCCCCAATGCTTATTTTTGACTAAAAGATTAGGTAAACTTTTTCAGACATAGGATATATTTGTATGGTTTTAATATTAATTAAAAGTTGTATGTAAAATCTTTGTCCTAAATATTTTAGTTTCTTTGAAAGTTTTATAATTGCTAGCACAATTTTATATGAAATAAAAACAAATTATATTTTTACATAGGATATTGATATTGATGAATTGGTATAATTTTCATATTTTAAATAATTTTAAGTGTCATTTCTAGAAATACAGTTCAGTAATCATTGCTTCAAAAATGAATTTATTTATTTATTTTAATGCTTTTAAAATTATTGGTTGACTCCTTCAAAATTTAGAAATGGGAACTAGTTCCTAGCAATAAAACAGTGTGACCAGCAATAATTGAAACCAGTTATCAGCATATAATACAGTACAAAGTCTTTAATCCGGACGTCCATAATCTGGAATGATCTATAATCTGGATCTCAAAGCTACAAACTTTCTGCACATGCGTAAACGCATATGCATTTAAGCATTCACGTTTAATGTATAACGGACGGTATCAGCTAGGCTAAAATTATCTAACTATCTATTTCAGTTAATTTTGCAGATTGCATTGTTCCTTAATCTTCTAATTGGATCTGGCTTATTATTTTTTGCAGACTGTTAGCGCAATTTTATAAAAAGTAAGCTTGAACTTTCGATTATATCAAAAAGAGTTTCAGATTCTGAAGCTGCCAAAGGATGTACAAAGCGAAAGCATGTTTCGATGTAGCGCTTCCGATAGTGAAGAAAGTGACAGAGAGGTTATTGAAAACGAAAAAATTCCGATTGACAAGTTAGTCAGTATTCTCGACACAGCAATTACAGGACTTGAACAGTGGAACCAAACAAGAAATTATGTCTGTTTGAAAAAGTATTAGCCAAAAAAACGAAGCAACTTAAACAACTTACATTGAAAGAAATGTTTAATAAAGTAAACAAATAAATATTAAGCTTTTTTTTATAAATTTTGATACCCTTTAGATCACAGTTGCTCTTTATTTCATAAATTACGGTTTCATATTTTTAATTGTATAATTTCTGCATGCCATCTTACCAGATTTAAATTGATGATCTATAATCCAGAAAAATCGATAATCTGGAATCGCCAAAGTCCCGACGAGTCCGGATTAACGACTTTTGACTGTACTGCATTAAAAAAATATCCGGAAAAAAAGGGAGGCGAGGGGTTTTCTTTCATTAATAATTTAATTTTACCTTGAAATTCATGTATAATACAAGTTCATTATTCTTATAATTTTTATATATAATTCTGAATATAATTTGTTGAATGTATAAAGATTGTAATAAACATTTACCCCTTTTATTTTGTAGATATGCCTCATGTATAAAGAAATATCTTTCATCTTTCAAAGAATGTAACATTAAACCTATTGTAATTTTTGATGGAGGATATGATAAATCCGATAGGAAATTGCAGACTGTTTTGCAGAGGTCTCGAACACGCCTTACGAATACACAACACATAGCTAAATATGGACGATGTTCTGGAAAAGTGTTGCCCATTATAGCACATGAAGTTTTCAAAGATGTTCTTCGTGAAATGGAAATACCATTTGCACAGTGTGATTTTGAAGCTGATGACCAAGTGACAGCACTTGCAAATCATTATAAGTGCCCTGTAATTAGTGATGATAGTGATTTTTACATATTTGATATTCATCATGGCTTTATTCGCCTTGATTCAGTGGAATCAACAGTTATAGTAGACACTGATGAAAATGGAATTCAGTATAATTACCTGAAATGTTACATATATCACATTGAAAATTTCCTTTCATATTTTCCTGGAATTGATAAAACTGTTTTACCATTATTTAGCACATTAATTGGAAATGATTTTACTAACATGAAAGTATTTGAAAAGTTTTTTACTAATATTCAACTTCCTAAATGTAAAGGTAATGGACTGAAATTAAATCAGAGACAGAGGAAAATTATTGGCCTTCTATCTTGGTTGAAAACAACTAACTTGAATGATGCAATAAGTACTGTTTTATGTCATTTGAAAAAGCAGAAGAGAGATTATGCGAAATCTGTGATTGAACACGCAATAGATAGTTACAAAGTACAAAAATGCAATTTAACTTTTATTTTAGATGACAGATTAGCTGACTTAAAAAGTGAATTAAAATTAAATTCAAAGTTGACAAGACCTTGTGGAGAAGTACTGCCAGCATCATTTATTATTCAGTTCTTGTGCGGATGTTATCCATCATTTTTCTTAAATACTATCTCTTTACATCGTACATTTTTGCCATCACAAGTCGAAAATGTTAACTTGGATAGTAGTTTTGCTTGTTCACGCTACATTCGACAAGTTCTTTATGGAATTCTTTTAAGGCATGATGTGCCCAATTCTGAATGTGAAAATAAGAAATGCGTTAGTTGTGTGGAGGAATATGATAGGCGTAATGGGAGTTTGCAGAAAGAATCTGTGGAACCAGTTTTTACTTTAAGAAGTGGGACTGTTTTGCCAAATTTATATACATTAAATGATCTGAGTAAAGTTCAGTCTGAGAAAATATTATCGGAAGTACTGGACAATGAAGTAGGCATTTTTTCATCAGTACCAAGTGAATGGCAGCTACTGCTTGGATGTATTAAGTACTGGTTAAAGAATAGCAATCCTGGACCAAGCGAAGAATTTATATATGCTCTAGTGATAAGTATACTGTATTTTAGTTTTGTAACGAAATTCTCATCTAATGACAATAAAAATGATTTTGATGCAAAACAAGAGATGTCTGAATTTTCAAGTATTTCATCAATGGTGAAACTTGTTTCTGATTCCGAAATTGATACCACTAAAAGAAATATTAAAAAGTATCTTCAAAAACCAGTTTTTAACAATGGAAATCCTATAATACTCCACATAGTTCATAGTTTTAGTCAGCTACAGACATGCATCCTGTATGCTATCTATTTGAATAAAATATTAAATTTTCCTTTTAAATGTCCAGAAATTCATAAAACTTTTGATGGCGTATTACTATATAATTTAACCAAGGATATTTTATTACGGCCTTGTCCTGATCTATTTGTATCAGAATTACTTGGCAGAGAATCCACTATAGATAAGTTGTTCTTTTTGCTTAGAAGTAAAATATACGAAAGTATTTCTTCTGACTGTTATATAAAAATCAATCGATCTTCTTCCCAGAGCCATAAAAAAAGAAAGAAGAATGCTGTTAAAGGAAGTGTTTCATCTTGTGCAAATGAAGAGGCTGGTCAAGATGAAGATGAAAGTGAATTATGCAATAAATTCAGCTATTTAAATTCCTTGGATATAGATTCATGTGATATTATTTTATAGAAATAGCTTCATCATATTTTATTAAACCAAAATTTATATCAAATGAATACTATATTTGTTTTTATATTTATTTAAATAATAACTTTTCATGAAAAATTATTTAAGATTTTTTCTGATATTGGGATTATTTTATTGTTGATTGATTGTTGAAATGGTTTTACTTTTAAAACTATGAATTTAGTATATTTTTGTATATAATGCGTAATAATAAGGGGGTGCATTTAGTGCATTTTTGTATATAATGTCATAATAAAAAGGATATGAATGAAATGCATTGGTTGATTTTATTTAATGTGGATTAAGTAAATAGTATATTTAGAGATGTGAAAAATGACTTTACATTCACATAATTTCAAAGACAAGCAAGATAAAAAGTGTGTATCATACTGCAAATGTTTCTTATCTGTATTTTACTTTCTAAAAATTTTTTTTTTTTTTTTTGTTTTGTTTCTGAATTTTAAATTTTATAGCCAGAGGTTGTCAGATGCCAGTGGAATCATTTCCTTATACGTATTTATTCTTAAGACTAATTTGTATGATATTAATAAATATATAAATGCAGTTAAATTTACAAATTTAGATAATCCATGAATGCATGCAATCTATGGTAAATTTTAATGTAAAAAAATAAAATTCCGCAATTCTCAAGAAATTCAATATTGAAAAAATTTAATGATAATTCTTTTCTCATATGTATAAACAAATAAAATGCAAAGTAAGTAGGTTACATTAACCGGCTTACTCTACAACTTTAGATCACAATAATGAGGTAATTACTTGTCAGCAGCAAAATTGTCGATCTTATTTTTCAACCCAGTGCTCTGAGCTCGAGGCATTAGTTTCTTGTGAATGAATGTTTTAAATTGCTTTCACCTTACTTATTGATTATTGCAGTTTTCACAGAAACATTGCTTTCTCAAAGGAAGTGTACACTGAAGAGCCAAAACAGTATGACCATCTACTCAATAATGCATTGCTCGACCTTTGGCCTGCAAAGCAGCTGCAACTTGCCTTGGTATGGAAAGTTCTTGGTAGTTCTTGGTAGATGACTGAAGACAAGCTGTACCAAATGTGTAAGCAACGGTCACGCAATGATACTTCGAGTTGGTCGTGCTTGAGCTCTGAGCTGCCGCTCCATGGCATCCCAAATGTGCTGTGTAGGGTAAAAATCCGGGGAGTTAGGTGGTTAGGACATTAACTGGAATTCATCCTTATGGCTTCAACACAGTTCGAGCTTTGTGACATGCGGCGTTGTCCTGCTGGAAGATTCCGCTTCCAGTTGGGAAGACGGATGCCATGTAAGTGGGCAACTGATCCACAGTTATGCTCAAATAGCCAGCAGCTTTCATGGTCTGTTATACTAGAACTAAGGTTATCAGAGCCGCCCATGAAAACATCACCCAAAACTTAAAAGCGCCACCACCAGTCTGTGAATAACCTGTTGCACAGGGGGGGGGCAACTGTTCGCCTGGAAGACTACGTACCCTAACACGAACATCAACTTGATGAATGAAAAATTGTGATTCATCCGACCAGGCAGCAACTGTCCTCCACTTATCCATTATCATTTGAGCATAACGTCTTGGTGCTCCTGGGGCCACTGTAGTTGATAATAACAATTGGTAAACGGAGGCACACTAGTCGGACGTCTGCTGCGCACTTTCATATCCAACAGTGTCCACTGAACTATGTGTTCCGAAACAGTTGCACTTGGTCCTGCATTGTATTGGACTGTCAGCAGAGCCAGTGTATGGCGTCGATTTTGATGTACTAAGCGGGACAATTTCCGCTAACCTTTTTCTTTGATGATGCCTGGAAAGCTGACACGTTGGCGTTTACTGATGGTTTTACCGTCACTGATCCACCTTACATAAATACTAACAACGGCAGATCGTGAACAACCTACCAATCGTGCAATTTTGGAAAAATTCGTCCCGAGTATCCGGGAAATTACAAGCTGCCCTCTATCAAATTCGGAGCCTTTACCATCACTTGCAAAAATAAATACAAGAATGATTCTTTACCTCCTTCAGCAGCAGTTAGATATACCTTTCGCACTTAATCGCGTTACCTTATGATTTAAATAATTAACTGAAAACAAAGTCACAGTAAAATAAGCCTGCAAGTGATTAATGTTAAAAATTAAAAGTATAGTGGTGGCTAACATTCAAGTCCTCCTATGTAATTCTTTATTTTAAGTAGTATAAATATCTTTTGAGGAGAGTACTGAATTGTCTGAATGTCATTTTAAAGGTTTTTAGCACTGTAAAGAAGTGTTTTTTTTTTTTTTTTTTTCTTCACATTGCAGGTAGTCTATTCCTGCCAGAATACAAATTGCTGTTTGCAATGATTCTTCTATGTATCATGATTTTTTGTTCTTACTTATACTAACAATGCTTGCCGTTCTCTGGGATATAAGATCTTTCATTAAACAACATTGTAAATAGCAAGTCCACAAAGTGTCACTTTCAGATGTAGTGTAAGATCTTTAAATTTTACATTTTCTAGCTATTCGATTTATATTACTTCAAATTTAATTTTTCATTTCTAGAGATTTATTATTATCAGTTGGCATTCATACATATTTTTATTTAAGAAAAGAAGTTAAATATCTATTTCGATTTCAAAAGAACGAATAGAGGGTGGACTCCCTGGATCGGCGTGTATTGAGCTGCCAAAAATTATTACGAATGAAAACTCTGTAACTAATACATAAGAAATTCAAATAAGTAGTGCTTTAAATGGACGGTAATCTGCATTGAAAATCAGTATCGTATTATGAATCTTTTCTCAATGGATTTTCCCCGTATTAAATTCTCAACTGGGAAGAATGTATACAGATTTGAATCGCAAAATGATATTTCGATAAATATTTTCGAGTGATTGAAAAATATGCTTTGTTTCCTCTACTGATTAGAAACAGAGAAATGAGCATGTTAATTAATGATACCTAACAAGTACAATAACTAACTATTACTTTTTGAAAATTCATCTCGGCTTGTATCTAGACATCTATCTAAACATAATAAATAAATAAAAATATATATGTGATAATTGTTTTAGCATTTTTCGACTGAAACTCTTAATAAACATGTGTTATATATGCAGTCTTTTGACTGCATCACAAAATGGTCTGCCAGTTTGCCTCAGAAGCATCTTAAGTATAGTGTATTAGAATCAAATTAACAATCAATTACCAAACAAAAGTAAAGTCTTCTTAATTGGGCCGTTTCCCCGTATGTTTTCCGCTTCACCCTAGCTGTTCTTCTTTAAACAATATTTACTTCTGTTGGCATAATAAAATGCCGCTTACATCCTTAAAGGATCCAAATTGTTGCCACCAAGGCTGTTCTCCAAGCAATAGCAAAAAGTGCATATAGTTTGTTATTACATTTGTTATGAGCGTGCCTTTTACAAACCGCCTGTAATATATCCGGTTCCAAATGCAGGAAAAATACACATGAGCGACAGAATATGTATATGAGATGTATCAGAAGTCAAAACTTATAGCTGCTTTAAACGAAGAGGAAATCCGCATTCTATGAGCTCTCTAGCATTTGGTATTTATTTGGTGACGAATCTGCAGCAAACTGAAAATTACATGGTCACTGTCCGTGTCTGCAGAACTGCGTATAATCAGTGCAATATTTTTCACTTGTAGTATTTCGTTGCTTGTTAGGTATAATGTTCATCACTGAAGACGGTAAAGGGAAAATTTTATGTCGTTTATCCAGAAGATACGATTAAGTGCCCGATTTTTTTAATTCCTAGTATGTTGTGGCGAGCAACATAGAAAAATTAACGCGTGAAGAATTCATTCACATAAACTCTTCATTTTTTAAGTAACTATAAATTTACGTAAAAGCGTTTTCTCCTCAGATTATATGAGTGGAATTAAAAGATGAGATTTGCCTTTGCTAAAAAGACTATTTACAGTTACATTCTCTTGAACAGGAAAAATCATTAGCCGTATAAATGAAGAGAGCATTATGTCAACTGATTACAAATACGCGAAAATAATATGGGATGAAATTAATATTTAAATTCTTGGAAAGTATTCTAAATAATATTGATGAACATTTCTGAAAACTTTCGAGAAGTATATATGTTACTTAAATCCCACTATATTAGCCCCGGACTTTCTTGACATGCCGCAATAAAAGGAACTAAAAATAAAAAACTATGCGCGAATTACAAAATGTTTTCAATGATTGAGGAAGAATAAAAAGGTCATATCTCAATGGTCTAACAAATATGCTTTTACAAACAACAAATGCAGTCCTTACAACCCAAATATCTCCTACATTTAAAGACAAATTATATATATATAATATTTATACGAAGAACCAAGAAAGTTCGTGCGGTTTTCGTCACTCATCAAAAATGGCCCAGGAAAATTTTAAATACCAATTTTATTCTTCAAAATAATCACCATTGCCTTCAGTTGCATGTTCCCAATGAGACACATGCTTATAAATGGACTTTTTGAAAATAAAATTCCTTTTCACTTTCCAAAAATTGTGATACAGCTTTGTCATATCTTCGCGTTTTTGGAATTGTTGTTCCTGGACAAAAACAAGTAATAATCCGATGCGGCAATGTCCTGGGAATAGGGTGACTGAGCCAAAACTTCCCGGTCAGGTGTTTTGAACACCTCTTTGGTTGCTTTTGCCATATGAGGTCTGGCATTATGGTGGAGGAGGAGAACTCATCTTCTGTTGACCAATGCTGCCTGCTTCTGGAGCTGTGTGGCTAAATGTTTTTAACTGCGATGAGTAGATTTCGGCTCTGGATTTTCCACTTTCTAGATATTCATAGTGAACTATGCCAGCTCTGTTCACCAAATACACAACATTAGTTTCTTTTGGTGAATGTCCGATATAGCGACCAAAGAGACCTAACCAGAAGTCGCCAACGATGTTTTCTCTTCCTGTTATCCTACATGATCCCTTTTTTATGGCATGCCAAGATTTGTTCCAGGAATATAGCTTTATTAGGCGCCGACAACAAGGTGAAGCAAATGATCAATCGTTGGAGCTTGTTTTCCTCGGACAGGACATGAAGAATTCCCTTGTTTAGTTTACATGTAATCCCACAGTTATGAAGATGTGATTGAATGGTTTCGTGAGATACTCTAAAACTGTGTGCAAGCTACTGGCAGGTTATTTAGGATTTTTCTTGATTTCCTCCTTTAACATGACTTTGAGGAGGTTGAAATGACGAGCAACAAGAGGCTTGTCTTCAAACCTCACATGTTTGGAAGAAAATCGGCTGAACAATTTTTGAGCGGTTCGTTCATACACTGACATCTGTCCAAACATGGAGCATATTCTTTTAGAGAACTCTGCAGCCTTGTACTCCTAAAGCAAAATATGTCTCAAACTTTCGGAAGAACAACTGTTTGGAACAATTTTTCTGCTTTGTCACCACAGCCAATCACCACAGATCGCTTTGGGGTTCGCACAGGGAAAACTGGTCCCCCAGTACAAACAAGCTGATAGCTGATTGGTTGCAAACGAACAACTTGCAATTTTTTGGAAAGGAAGGAAAAAGTAGCAGGTCTTTCTTTCAATAGTAAACCAGGCAGAAAAATTGTCCGAAACAGTTGTTCGTGTGAAACAAACGCCGTGTGATATGAGCCTTAACGTTTCGCACGGTAGAGGCGCTTGAGGATTTAAGCCGTTATCACATTAGCTGTTTGTTGCCGGGACAAAACGTTTGTAGCAACAGTTCTGAGAAACGGCCTTTGGCGAAATAGGGTTACCATCTTCACTTGGCAAACAGGCTGAAAGCCAAACAAGAATCAGTTATCGCTCAGATTGGCGAAAGTGACGTTTCCTTTCAAGTGACATTCGCTTCTTTGTGTTGTTTTTGTATCGCTCACACGCTTTTTCGTTTTAAACTTTATTGTTATAATGGAAGATAATAGAAAGGGATTGCTATTAAGTTAATCATTTTGATCTCCACTCTGGCACTTCGTGTAACAATAAACCACTTCTGGTTATAGCACAATTACATCAGTAATAGCCCAAATTCTGTATACACTCTAAGAATAGTTTAAACATGTGCTGGATAAGTCTATTTATCACACACGTTATGTGTATTTTTCTGTGTCTTGCATTTCAATGAAATTTGATGGCTCACGGAAAATTGTGCCTGGTGAAAGCATTTTCTGACGAATTTAGGCTCATAATTACTGTTCTGTCCATTCAATGACAAAAATCTTATATGGCTGATATTTACCTCCTCACAGCCAGCCAGATACTATTTAGCAAATGATGATCAAATAAAGCATATGAATACATGAGCAATCAAACATGTGTGAGTTGTTTACTGTCCCATAGAACACTCGTTAATATACCTAAACACATTAATTATACCAACTCTAGAAATTAGTGTTTCACATCATGAGTTTGTTTTATGGTTTTGATTTATTGAGTTACAGCAAAGCACACTAGGGCTTCTGTCTAAGGGAAGGGATGCCTTCGGAGGACTTCTAAGGGAAACTGGCTCGTATACACGTTACACATGGGGAAACCACGAAAGCTTCCATTCAGCCAGCCCGTTCGCGGGATTCGAACCTCGACCGAACTACCAGTGTTCGCGACTTTTACCGCTCGGCCGCTGGTGGGCTCAGTTGGTTTTATGTGATTACGAAAGCCTCGAGGGATAATAAAGGAGGGATCCCTTTGTAGAAGATTTTTAAAACTGGCTCGTATACCAGTACAATTGGGCAAACCAAGGAACGTCATGTAACCAGCCCGTTCGCGGATTTCTAACCTGAACAGAACTACCATGTTCAACGACGCTTTGCCACTAGTAGGCCCGTGCAGTTATTGGAAAGTGCAATTCATTATGTAAACAGACATGAAGGTGATAATCAGTTGTGCGCTTTTAAGTAATCAAATGTTAAAATGCCACTGTTACACTTTCTTATTATTATTAGTCATGTTTTTATTACGTAGATCATACGTATGATATAATTATGAATTAACCCAAAACAAAATGTGTAAACTTTAGATTTAAATACTCATCATTATTTTTCACGGATTATTACATACCCATAATAATTTGCAAAGACTAATACTATAGTTGCTGCCAATTACATAATCGTATCTGAATTAAAAGGAACTTCAAATATATTCTTGGCAATTTCATTTTGTATTCATACCTACATAATATATATACACACATCTAATAAGTCATATATTTACTTCAGATAGAGAGATGCGATGTTTTTAGAAATTGTTAATATCTATTTATTAAGTTTAATGTAATGAATAGATTTATATATGAATTATATACATGTTTTTTCATCATGCATAATGATAATCCATAAATTTTTCAATGTTTTCAATTTACATTTCAATAAAAGTATAGTTTCTAAGTTTATAATTCAAAAGTATTTCATTAATAACCTGAAATATAGACAATTATAATGAGTATTCTCTATACTAAGCTATCTTTTCTTTTTTGCATCTTTATGCTGTTTAAAATGTGTCACTGATTATGCAGTTACAATTTAAAAGATAAGTAATTAGGAAAAAGCCGCGCATAGACAACGGATTTAAAAAATTCTTCAACTGAATTTAAGAAATAAATTCATATATAAAGTGTTATAATACACGATCAGCACGAAAATAACTTTGGCTACGACAATTTGTAACAAATCTAATCAAGAACGTCGTAAATATTCAACTCTGAATTCTACGATTATATATTTATGAATATATACATTTAAAAAAATGCTCCGCAGTTTGTACACAAACACAATAATTAAATCGGCCTCTATTTCCACCGTCCATTACTTCACAGTGAGAGCCATCACCATATTGAAAGTTACCTAGATCCTTCACTCTCGTATCGAGATCTCGTCGCACGGTAGGAGGGTCCGGCCCAAGGTCATTTAAACGATCTTTAAGTTCGATCCTACGCATTTCCTTGGTACAAACAGGACACTTATAAGACTGCTAAGTAAAGCTTCATTTCCACACCAGTCAATTATTTTCGTGACTTTATATCAAATTTTGAGTAAAATAAATAAATAATATTTAAAAAGTATTTTTTTAAAATTATTTTTTAATATTTATTTATTTATTATTATTAAAAAAAATTTTTTTTTAGCTCTGAGAACGTACGCAAATACATTAGTAACAAGATTCAAAACGAGTAGACTAGTGTATTAGGGGTATTTATGCAGTCGACGCAGTATAAAGTCAGCATATTTATACAATCCACGAAGGTTTTATGCTCCGTGATGCAATCGTATATTCTGAAATTCCATACACCTATCCAAATCTTTATTCATAAAGCAAAACTGCTATTTAATAAATTTAAACTCGGTATTCTAATTTATTAAGTTTGTAATGAACAGCGAAAATGAATTTAAACATTATTTCGGAAGAACGTTGAGTTGTAATATATTTTAACAAGTGGATTCGTTAACAATCCTTCCATAAATCATCTCTCTGTCATTTTTTTTTTTTTTTTTTTACTTCGCTATTTTCTTTGAAATATCATAGTGGCAACTGTCAGTTCAACCGCCAGAATAGCCATTTTTGCATCGTGTGGGGCGCGGTTTGACCGGCATCTGTATTGTTGATATTTACTATTGATTAAGTTATTTACAACATGTCTTCGAAAACTAGAAAGTCCACAGCATCTGTATCTACGCCTCAACAACCTTCTTCTAGCACTCCAAATGTACCCGGCAGCAATCCTGAGAAGAGTTCACCGTTAGGTGCAACTCGAATGACCCGAATGCAAGAGAAATTGGAACTTCAAAATTTGAATGACCGTTTAGCTACATACATTGATAGAGTGCGATTTTTAGAGACGGAAAATAGTCGGCTGTCTCTACAAGTGCAAACCAGTCAAGAAACTGTAACTCGAGAAGTGAGCAATATAAAATCTCTCTACGAAAATGAATTACTGGAAGCAAGGAAAGCTCTTGATGAAACCGCCAAAGAGAAAGCTAAACAATATATTGAATTAAATAGCTTGAGGAATAGTTACGATGAATTATCAACAAAGTAAGTGATTTTAAATTATTAAATGCACCTATATAGCTAATGGCAGTAAATTTTATATCTAGGTTGTATATCTGAATTTGAAATGTGATGTTTTAATGAACTGGAAAACTTAAATGGCGTTTTCCCGCCAGTCCTTACTGCATGTGTATTTTTCTCCCATAAAGTGTGTATAAGAGGTAAACAATGTTATTTCATACGGTTGGATTTGGTAAATTTTTAGTGGTTTAAAATATGATTAACCTAAGTAAATAGCTGTGTAGTTTTAATATTGGTAAGGTCTTTAGTTTAATCCTAGTATCCGGTGTACACGGGATTTGGCTGCTTTTGGCAACTTTATGATGAGCAGTAAAAACGGGACATAAACGAT